GTAGCTTCGTCGATCATTTCTTAGTGATTAAGGTTGACCACAAAAGTTAAAAGTGTCACGACTGGATTGCGACTGCATCATAGTTTGAAAGTTAGAGAGCTAGGCTCAATTAGGCTTCTAGATGCCTAGCAACTCCATTGAAGGAGATTCGAACAGGACCTGAACTTTGATTTTTAGTTCACAAATCTAGATTTGATTATGAATGATTAGAAGTGCCTCTCGACTAGGGTTTTTTTTTTTTTTTAATCTCCATGGAGCATCTTGACTTCCATTACTTCTCGATCGGAGTTCGATACAACCTTAATCGACTTTAATTTCACTAAGTTGAAGTATTGATCTAGTTGTGAGTTTGTCGAGTCCTAATATGACGTAACTTGACCTTTCGAACACTAATTTTGCCAAGCTAGACGTTTCAAAACATGAAATTGTGGTTTGGGTTGTATTAAATGTTTTAGGTTTATTTCAATTGATTTGATACATGTTAATTTGGTTCAACACCTAAAGAATCATCAAACTATTAGATGATCTTATTCAATCAAACATCGTAATAATCAAATAACTCTCAATTGAACATCGAGAACAACAGTCAGCTCTGGTTTAACTTCAATCTATTTTGATTCACATTTAGATTTAATTATGGTTAGAAATCTGTTTGATTTGATTGTTATACAGTGAGTGCTCCATTGTAAGTCATTATAATTCAATTGGAGATATTAGGTTTGTTAGATTGTTCAAGATGGTTCTGTTGAAGCATGCCACTTGTTGCAATGCTACTATGAATTAGTGAACTTCTTGTTTCAAACCTAGTTTGATTCTATTAGACTAATTTGGTTTTGATTTTGGTTCTACATCTGGAATTATTCAATTGTAGCCCAAAATCTATTCATTTGTGTCACAACAATGTTGGAACATTGATAGTTTAACGATAATTTGTCTTGCAATGCATTTGCTTTGGTTTAAAGAAGAAGAGGTGGGGGTAGAGGTCATACGACAAATTTTGGTTATAGAGCTACATTGATTTCACTTCTTAGAAGGAATGATGCTATTCAGAATCATAATCATCAAGATGAGATGAAACAAATTAGTAGAGAACTTAGGAAGTTTTAAAGAGCTTCTTTGAAGTGGTATGTGTGGTATCCCTTCATTCCTCCTTAGGAAGGTGAGTAAGTTACTTGTTGTGATGCTCAATTAGCCATTGTTTCTGAAGAGAGTGAGGGAGGAAGGAAGAGTGCAACACCAAATTTCGATCAATCTCTCTCAAGTTACTTTTGTCTAGTGGGTGCATAGCCAGTGTTGTCAACTTATCACATCCTTCAACTTTATTTTGATAGGATGAGTATTCATTTGCACCAGTCTACAAGTGAAATGTAGAGAGGATTGGAAAGTTGAAAGTCTGTCCAAGCTTTAGTGAGCAGGTATGGACATGATGAGAGTTGTCGGTACTTTTAGTTGTTTAGCCAAGGAACGGGGTTGATGTATTTGCAGAAGGATGAATTATAAGGACTATGTTTGCATTGAGCAAGGAAACACAACACCTATATCTCACCTACAGCTACATGAGTGTTGTTACACTGAGTTCACTAAGGCTTTATTTGGGAAAATGCTATTTTAGTAACTTTTTAATTTTTGATTAAAATATGAGTTAAAAAAATTAGTATGTTTTGAATGAATTTTTAATTTTTTACGAAAAGATGTGCAAAAAGTAGAGAGAAAAGGAAAATTTTGACTTTTTGATATAAGTAGTTGGTTTTTTAGCGACTTTTTGATTTATAGGCTAAAATACTGAGTTGCCAAACGAAACCTTAGTGGTTGTTTAAACTTGAGGATAACTTTCTTCAAAATAGAGAGAATTGATGTTTCTCCAAGGAAACATATATTTGGTTACTCTCTGCAACCCTTAGGGGTTTGTTTATCCGCTAATGGGGGGATTTCTCTCTCTTTCTCTCTCTCTCTCTCTCTTCAAATTTGATTGCATTACTAGTTTTTTTTAAGAATTTCAAAAACATATTTTGAAAACTTGAAGTATGCTTCTGATGTTTTTTTATTTTTGAAATGCTTTTATAGGTATAGTCAATTTTTTTATTTAAATCTGATAATATGAATATAGTGATCAAATTTTCTATTTCTAAAGCAGAAGAAGTGAACTAGAACCTAATCGTTTTCAGTTATTTGATTCTAGTTTAGTTCCAAAGGTTCTATTGTTGGGATTGGTTCCTACAAAAAAAGGAATTTGATCTTGAGTTTACTTTAAAAGCAAACTAAAATGGTGTGTGTATAATCTTAGTGAGAGATGGTAGAGATGGAAGTTAGGAAGTAAGTGATGATGGCAGTGGCAATGGATATAGTGTGTGTGAGAAGTAGCAATTGATGATAGTGGGAGTGAGACATGGGCGATGGCGATAGTAAGAAGTAGATGATTGTGGATGATGGTGGTAATGGGGGTGAGTGGTTGCCAGGGTGGAGGTTAGTGGAAGGTGTGTGTGATGATAGAGGTGGTAGTGGGAGACATGGTTGTAGTGGCATTAAGGCAATGTGCAATTGTTGGGTGTTAAGGTTTTATGCATTGGTGTTTATGTGGTGATGTACAAATAAAACGTTGCGGTTGTTATTGGTAGTTAGGTGATTATGTTCTTATTTCACTTCTCTCTTTATTTGATTTCTCTTAGGGTGAGTTTGGAATGAGCCAAATATATCGATTTTTTGTTTAAATAAGTTACAAGGCAAAAGTCTATCTGTCATAAACTTAAAAAAACACTAAAAGGCCAGGCAATTTTCTTTTATTCACAAAAAAAAAGAAAAAAGGGTAACATTTTTAGCATTTCTGAAGGTATTATTTGTTTTTAAATTCTAAAAAGTAAAAAAAATTACAAAAAATGCCAATGTAAAAAATGTTCAGGGAGATGGTTTGGATAAGAAGAAAGTGGTGGTGGAAAATGGTTGTTTCGGGAGGTGGCTTGGTGTCCATGGTTTGAGATACACGATTGGAAAGTAATTTTTTTAGTAATTGTTTGGCTTAAATATGGTGTGAAAAAAATCATTATATTAAAGAAATTTTTAAAAACTTTTTACAGGAAAACTTGTGAAAAGTAAAGTGAACAAAAAAGAATTATTTAATTTGTTTCGTTCTAGTTTTTAGAAAATAATTTTCAAAAAATTTCATTTTTTTATTTTCCGTGTTTTAATGCTTTCAATAATTTTTTTAATATTTTAAGCAATTTCTTTTAATTTTTAGACACACCTGATATAAATACATTTAAAAAGTATAATATTTGTGAAATTTATTTTTAAAAAATACACTAAATACAAAAAATATGAAAATTTAGTACATTTTTTAAATATTTTTGTGTATTTATTAATTTTTTAAAATATTTTTTTACAAATATTTTACTATTTAGATATATGTAAGTAAGATCCATTTAAAAAAGTAAAAAATTTGTTTAAAATTAAAAAAATATTCACTAAAAAAAAATTACGAAAAATAAAAATCTCAATTTTAGAAAACTAAATTCAGAAAAATAAAATGAAATGCACTCAATTAATTTTTTTAATTAGCTAATCTTCTTAATGATTTAAATAAATTTTTAATTAAAATATACAATTACCGAACGAGATGTAGTTGACAAGTATCTAGGTAATTATTCATATTTTTCGTTATCTTTCTTAACAGGAGACAAAAAAAAGAAAAAAAAAAACACTAACAAGTCTGTGTAATTTTAAAAAAGGAAACATGTTTTTAGAGTGAAATCCCAAGATTCACGGCAAATCTAAAAAGCTCATATGTGTGAATAAAGATAAGTCTGAAGGGTGTCATGAATGAAGGGTGTCATGAATAAAGATAAGTCTGAAGGGTGTCATGTAAGGAAATATTCAGTGCATTTGGTTGAAATTTTCTGAATTTAGTTTTTTGAAAATTAAATTTTTTAATTTTCGTATTTTTTTTATTTTTAGTGAATATTTTTAAAATTTTAAATATTTTTTTATTTTTTTAGATGCACCTTACTTAGATGTGTCTAAAAAGTAAAAAGTTTATTAAAAAATATTTTAAAAAATTAATAAATATATAAAAATACAAAATATGTACTGAATTGTTGTATTTTTTTTGTATTTTTGGTATTTAGTGAATTTTTAAAATATTTTTCTTATAATTTTTTTACTTTTTAAATGTATTTATGTTAGATGTGTCTAAAAAGTAAAAAAATTGCTTAAAATATTAAAAAAATTCAGTAAAAACAAAAAAAACACGAAAAATAAAAAAATAAAATTTTTCGAAAAGCGTTTTTTAATATCTATTTTATAATTAAAAAAGTAATAATTTAATTTTTTAAAATATAGTTAAAAAAATTATAATTAAACATAATATGAAATATAATTAAAGATTCATAAGTATTGATTAAAATAATATCATAACAAAAAAAATTAATCATAATTAAAAAAAATTACATGCTATATATCCATAGTTATATTAGAATTTTTCGAATACTGTGTTTAGTGAGAGAATTTAAGAAGAAATTTAAGAAATAGAAATTTTAAATGAAATATTTTACATTTTCACACACACATTTTTTTTTTCCTTTTTAAATCGCTCCACAAATTTCCAATCACACGCGTCATAAGTGTACCTACCATATGTTTTTTTTTTTTGTTGCTGTTTCTCACGTAAACTTCCGCGAAACTTCGTGAGTGCTTGTGAGCGGTCGAAACCCACAGGAACAACGTGAAGTGAAGTTGCGACGAAGAAGATAAGAAGAAGAACACCGATTGATGTTGTCAGGTGCCTCTGGAAACCGCGTTTTTTTAAGTTCTATGTATGCATTATGTATGTATGTATGTCTGTATATCTGCGAAATTGATTTTGCTGCTGCACATTGGTTCGGTTGTATAGCAGAGAAAGAGAAACAATCTGTGCTGTAGATTGAAAAATCGGAGTGGAATTTGTGGCTGTTAAAAAAGAGTTTTTGATGATGTTGATAAAGATATAATAAATATATATATATGGACAGAGATTGATCGGTGATTGTATCTGCGGTGTCATCTCTCCTGCGACAGATGGAAATGAATGACAGATCGAAAGGGGGTTCGCCCTATAGGCGGCATCAGAACGATGAGGAAGCGGCGGCTACTGCGACTGAGGAGGAGGCCGAGGCTTCATCTGGCGGCGGCGGCGGCCCATTCCAAATCTTTAGAACCAAAGATGCTTCAGTCGACCGCCTCAAAAGATGGCGGGTATTACTCTCATTCTCTTCTGCATTATTTTCACCTAATTTTTTCTAATGAAATTCATGTTTTAATTTCTGATTTTGTTGTCTTTCTTTTTATTCTGCATTAGTTAGCTGTTAATTATCAATTTTGATTTGGGATTACTTCATTGTTGTTTTATTGTTAACTGGAAAAATAATGTTTCACTATACTATTGTTTTGGGTATATTTTATTTTATAATTTAGATTATTTATTTATTTATCAGTAGTGTGTGTGAGTAATGGTCAATCATCCTCGCATATTTTTCTGATGGTAGTGTATGTTATCTTTACACCAGAGTTGTATGTCACGGAACCCCTTTCTCTTGATGAAAATATTTGGGAAATTTTTGAAAATAAGATTTCCTAAGTGTTGCGTAGAGCACTTTTAGGTGCTAAATAGAGCAGCTTTAGATGCTATATGCTACACCTCCTTCTCTTGATGTAGAGATTTGGGAATTTTTTGCAAAATAGATTTCATCTGTGTTGCATAGAGTACTTTTAGATGCTAATGCTCTTTTTGTTTGGGTGGAAAACATTTTTATATGGAAATTTGTTTTCAGAAAATGTTTTATGGTGAAAATATTTTTTTTATGTTTGGTGTTGGAGGTGGAGGTGGAGGTGGAGGTGGAGGTGGTGGCATGGTGGTCAAGCGTTAGCAGTGGTGATAGTGACGGTGACGGTGGCAGTGGTCGGGGTGACGGTGGTGTGGTGGTGGAGGTGGTAGCGTGGTGACATTGGTAAACTTTAATTCGGAAAATATTTTCTGCCTTTTAGAAGTAGAAAACATTTTTTACCCATATAACCTTGTTTTCTGTTAACCATGGAAAATATTTTTCGTTGACTTTCGTTTTCTATCGTACTAAACATCAGAAAATATAAAAAATATTTTTTAGAAAATATTGTTCACCCAAACAAACGGAGCATAAGTAACTGGCAGCATTACTTGGCTAGAGAAACAGAATTCTCAAACATGTAAAAGGTGTTGGGAAAAGAATTTTTAGATGCTAAAAAACTCTCAATATTACTTGGCTAGAGAAAATAATTGGGCCTCCACAAAATACAGTTTGCAACGAATAATGCAGCTTTGGGTAGAAACTTGTGCATGATTTTCTTGTAGAATAAGTGCTGAAAAAATGGTTACCAAAATCCCATTTTCTCTAATTATTGTCCAAAGCATTAAATATTTGTAAAAATATTAAAATGTTTCAGGCCGATGCTTTATGTGTGTCTGCCATGGTCAGTAGTGTTGAGATATTGCTCTTATCTAATCTTTTATTTCTCATTTTTTGAGTGCTGCTATTAGCACCTCATCAATTATTTTAGACCTTCCATTTTTTAGTTTTTATTTTTTATTTTTTTTATTACAATAATAACCTCAAGTGAAATTACTAAAAATAACATCAATAATTTTGAGACACCCCATCTCACAATTAACCCTACATACGTACTACATCTTTCCCAAATCCCACCTTCAAAACCTACTCACGTTCAAAGTCTTGAAAACCCTTTGGCGGCAATATTTCAGTGACAATGTTGATAACAATTTGATTACATATACTTCTTCGGTAATGACAATGAGTGGAAGTTTTTGAGATAACCACAACTTCATGAGACGAGAGGAGTACAACAATAAAAGCTTAGAAGAGGTTCATGGCTTTGATGATGTTCTTAACTCAGAGGAGATTGGCTTTGTAAAAGTAAGTTTCTGGAAAAAAATGGTAAAAATAATAAAAATTGTTCGCCATTTTTTCGGGATTGAACTCTCGAACATATAACCAAAATTCAGGAATACAAGCTCGAACATTGTTTATTTGTTCAGGAACAGGTAACTGAACATTTCTTATTTGTTTAGGAACAGATAATCGAAGCAGCAGCAGAAGCCGGCAAACAAAGGACGTCGGACCACCCTTGGGTAGTCGACTGGCCGGTTGACCGGAGGGTGAAATCCTACCTAGTTTTGGTCACAAGTATAGTGAGGCAAAGAATGAATGACAGAAAACCAACTAGAGAAGTATGAAAGTGGATTGTGTGTTTGAAAAGAGGTAATAAAAAAAAACAAAACCAAACAAATTGATAAATCTCGTAATGAAGTAGAGAGAAAAACTTCTTAATCACACAAATTTTTTGCATTGGTTTTGGGAGGTTCCACCGTCGTGGGTTTTGTTAGGGTTTTGGGAGATAGGCTTTTTGGGGTGTGGGGGTGTGCATTTGAATGGGTGTAATGTTTTTACAAGGATAATTTTGGTATTATTTGGAAAGAGAGAATAAATTTTAAAGGTTTTATAATTTATAAGTGGAGGTCTAGAGAAATGGGGGTCTAAAATTATTGATGGGATGCTAATAGTAGCACTTTTTTTTATTCATCACCAACAAAAGAAAATTGTATTGGTAAAAGAAGGAAAGAAACTACAAATGAGAGAGAACAATGTGTCCTCAAAAAAGAAAGAGGATTTTTATTTATTTATTTTTTTTTTATAAATAGCACATTGTGACATAACCCTCCATTCACTATTGATTAAATACGTAGGAATCCCTTTAAAAGGAGGGGAGATCAAGCCCAAAATGAAGCCGTCAAGCGTATTTTGTACCAAAATCTCATCAAAATTCTCAAACTTATCTTCAAATGCCATTGTATTTAATTCCAATTGTAGGTCGTCCGAAAAAATATATAGGGCTTGTTGGTTTGCTTTTGGGAGAGTTGATTTTGAAAAAAAATTTCAAAATTTTGTTTGGTTTGTGATTGTTCTAAAAAAGTTTCTAAAATCATTCTCTCTCGTACACATCAATCAATCACTTTTTCTCTCTCCTCTCTTCTTCTCAATCACTTTTTCTCTCACACACATTTACTCAATTACAACAAAATATCAAATCATCCCAAACTCCAAAACTACTTTCAAAATATAAAACCAAACAAACAATTTTTTTTTCTAAATTCTCTCCCCAAATTTTTTTTTTTGAAAATCACTCTCTCAAAAACAAACCAAACGCACCCATAGTGTTTGTACAAGAATCTATATCACCAAAGGGGCGAGTAATGTGAACAATAAACTGGAGATGCAGTAAGGACCAAGTTATTTTGAGCCATTAATGAATATAATTGAGCCTAATTTAATTAGTTCACTTGGGTCCCCAATTTGAGTTACTCCCCTTCTGTCTCAAAATATTAATCCCTTATTCCATTTTTCATTGTCCCAAAATATTAGTCCATTTTCAAAAATTAAGAACTAAAATAATATGAATTTCCTATTTTGCGCTTCTTTTAAATTCATTAACAACACAAAAAGTATAATTATGACAATTGATTGTCCAAAAAATGTGCTAGCAAAGGGTAATTTTGGAAAATTAATTTTTTAGAAGTGTAATAATTGTACTACCAAAAAAAGTTAGATTTCCCAAGAGGGACTATTATTTTGCAACGAAGGGAGTATTATGATTATTTTAATGTGGTGGTATTACGTAAGATTTCTGAATGAACAATTTTGTGTATTCAATTGTATATGTACAAAGTGAACAACTGTTTATATAGACGTAAGACAGATTAAAAAAAGAAAATAGAATCCCTATACAATCAAAGGGATAGCAAATATGCCTAATATAAATATATACATAATATATACTAGTATACAGAATAGATACGAATATATTCTCACACCCCGCTCAAACTCAAGGTGTTTTAGCAGAAAACACAGAGAGTTTGTCTTGAAGAAATTGAAACCTAGCAATGATGTGAGTCTTGGTAAAGAACAAGTTGCAAAGACGAAGTGACAAATGGAAGTGAGATAGAGCCAGACTGTTTATGCTGACGGACAAGTGATAATCAATCTCAATGTGCTTCGTTCGTTTATGAAAGATAGTGTTATAGGCAATCTAAATAGCACTACGGTTGTTATAGTAGAGAGATGTCAGGGAAGATTGAGGGACACCCAAATCAGACAAGAGACAACGAAGTTAGACAACTTCAACAGTAGCATGAATTATAGCACGATACTTAGCTTCGACAATAGAACGAGGCACAACAGTTTGTTTGTTGCTTTCCCAAGAAATCAAGGAATCGCTAAGAAATATACAGAAACCAGAAGTGGACTTGCGATCATTAACATCACTAGCCAAATTAGCATCAGTATAGGCCACCAGATCCAAGGATGAAGTAGAAGACAACAACCAGCCTTGGAAGATAGTATCACAAAGATAGTGAAGAATCCGAAGCAAAGCAAAAACGAATTGGCTAGCCACATGAACAACATAGGTAAGATCAAGGCAAATAACTGTCAGATAGACTAAGCAATTCATAAGCTCTCGATATAAAGTAGGATAAGCCAGAGGGATACCATCAGTAGTGTTGAGTGTCACATTAAGCTCAATGTGAGTATCAAAAATCTTAGTGTCAGTAAGACCGCCACAGTGAATAACCTCATTAGCATACTTGGCCTGAGATAGAAAGTAGCCCTTGGGAGAAGAAGCTACCTCAATATCAAGAAAATATTGCAATGGTTCCAGATCTTTCATTTCGAAAGTGCAGAAGAGATGCTGCTTGACCTTAGAAATAACAGAAGAGTTAAGACCCATTGATGATCATATTATCCATATATATAGTAACAAGGCAACAAAATCAACAAAGGTGTGGAGGAGAAACGAGGCAAAGTTGTAGGCACAAGGATGAAACCCAAGTTTAGTAACAGCTGTTTGAAAGCGATCATATCAAGTACGAGGAGATTGTTTCAAACCATACAGAGTATGACGAATACGACAAACTTGTCCAGAGGAATGGTGAAGGCCAGGGGGAGGACGCATGTAAACCTCTTCAGTGAGATGTCTATTTAGAAAAATATTCTTAACATCCATCTAATAAAGAGGCCAATGACGAACAGTAATAACAGAGATCAAAGTATGAATAGTAGTCATCTTGGCAATAGGGGCAAAGGTCTCCTTATAATTAATACTATACTCTTGTGAGAAACTTTTGGCAACTAGGAGAGCTTTGTAGC